ACATTACTTAAGGGTAAAAGGAATGTTCCACGAGAAGATAAAATGATCATGAATTTGCAACCAACACCATAATCTTATAAAAAGGAAAGCTATCACAATTACAAGGACAATTGTCAAATTTAGTCATGGTAGGAAACTTAATACACGATATTTTATAAGGACAGAAAGAATACTATATGCTCTTTATGCATATATACTTTAGTATTAGAAGTATAATAAAATCATGGACAGAAACTATTTTTAAAACTTCATGGTAGTAGTTGTTTCTGCAAAGGGAGATAAAGAGAGTCAACCTGAATAGGTTGACAGAGGCTTTAATTTTATCTGAAATGTTATATAATGGATTTAATCTTATTAATATTATTAGTATTAATATCATAATTATATTATTGATTAATAATTATATTATTAATATTATTAATATAATGTTTTGAAATGGATTAAAGACCTAAACATAAGGCCAGATACTATAAAACTCTTAGAGGAAAATATAGGCAGGACACTCGTTGACATAAATCACAACAAGATCTTTTTCGATCCACCTCCTAGATTAATGAAAATAAAAACAAAAATAAACGATTGGGACCTAATTAAACTTAAAACCTTTTTCACAGCAAAGGAAACCATAAACAAAATGAAAAGACAACCCTCAGAATGGGAGAAAATATTTGCAAACAAAGCAACCGACAAGGGATTAATCTCCAAAATATACAAACAGCTCATGCAGCTCAATGTCAAAAAAACCAACCCAATCAAAAAATTCGCAGAAGATATACATAGACATTTCTCCAAAGAAGACATACAGGTGGCCAAAAAGCACATGAAAAAATGTTCAACGTCACTAATTATTAGAGAAATGCAAATCAAAACTACAATGAGGTATCACCGCATACCAGTCAGAGTGGCCATCATCAAAAAATCTACAAACAGGGACTTCCCTGGTGGTCCAGTGGTAAAGAATCTGCCTTACAATGCAGAGTATGCGGGTTCGATCACTGGTCAGGGAACTAAGGTCCCACATGCCGCGGGGCATCTAAGCCCACACACCACAACTACTGAGCTTCCACGCCTCAACTAGAGAGCCCACATGCCACAAACTGCAGAGCCCATGTGCTCTGGAACCCGTGCACCACAGCTACAGAGCCAACATGCCCTGGAGCCAGTGTGCCACAACTAGAGAAGAGAAAACCCGCATGCCACAACTAGAGAGAAGCCTGCACACTGCAACGAAAGATCCTGCATGCCTCAATGAAGATCTTGCATGCTGCAACTAAGACCTGATGCAGCCAAAAATAAATTTAAAAAAAACAAACTACAAGCAGTAAATGCTGGAGATGGTGTGGAGAAAAGGGAACCCTCCTACACTGTTGGTGGCCATGTAAATTGGTACAACCTCTATGGAGAGCAGTATGGATGTTCCTTATAAAACTAAAAATAGAACTACCATAGGGCCCAGCAATCCCACGCCTGGGCATATATCCAGAGAAAACCATAATTCAAAAAGATACATACACCCCAATGTTCATTGCAGCACTATTTACAATAGCCAGGACATGGCAACAACCTGAATGTCCATCAACAGAGGAATGGATAAAGAAGATGTGGTACATATATATATAATGGAATATTACTCAGCCATAAAAAAGAATGAAATAATGCCATTTGCAGCAACGTGGATGGACCTAGAGATTGTCATACTAAATGAAGTAAGTCAGACAGAGAAAGACAAATGTATCACTTATATGTGGAATCTAAAAATAGGGTACAGATGAACTTACCTACAAGAGAAAAATAGAGTTACAGTCATAGAAAACAAACTTATGGTTACCAGGGGATAAGGAGAGGGGGAGAGATAAATGGGAGGTTTGGATTGACATATACACACGACTGTATATAAAACAGATAACTAATAAGGATCTACTGTATAGTACAGGGAACTCTACTCAATACTCTAATGGCCTATGTGGGAAAATAATCTAAAAAAGAGGGGATATATGTATATGTATAACTGATTCACTTTGCTGTACACCTGAAACTAACACAACATTCTAAATCAGTTATACTCCAATAAAAATTTTTTAAAAAAAGAACAACTTCATGGTAGTAGTTGTTTCTGCAAAGGGAGATAAAGAAAGTAAACCTGAATAGGCAGACAAAGGAGGTTTTAATTTTATCTGAAGTGTTTTATATCTTATGAAAGATACCTGACACAAAATGATAAAATAAATTTTTAAATTCTTGGTTTTGGGTACATGATTTATATCATTCTATTTTATTTTTCTGTATTTTTGAAAATTTTCATTATAAAATGGTAATGTACATAAACTAGCAAAAACTTGTAGAAATAAAAAGAAAAGTTGATTTCAAAATACAAGTATTGCAAACTAAGAATTCTACAGATTTAGTAGAAAAAATAAGAACATAGAAGTATTAAGATACTCATCAATAAATAATCATATACACAATATATTTTTGTACTAATCAATAAATAATCATATACACATATTTGTGTATACATACACAGAGAGAGATATTTAGACACACATATATAATACACAGAAAGAGAACATTACATTTCTCAGATAGAGAGTATACATTCTCTGAATATTTATAGAGCATATACAAAATCAGTCATGTATTTGGCCACAAAAATAACTCTTACAAATTTAAGTAAAAAACAGCAAAATAGACAAAGGATATGAATAGACAATCCTGAGAAAAGAAAATCTAGATAGCCAGCACGATTATGAAAAGATATTAAATTTACTAGTAATTAAAGAAATACAAATTAAAGTAATGAGATACCACTTTTCACCCATGAGATCTTCCAACATTTAAGAGTAAGTAGATCTTAAAAATAGTGCTAAGGGATTTCCCTGGTGGGGCAGTGGATAAGAATCCACCTGCCAGTGCAGGGGACATGGGTTCGAGCCCTGGTCCGGGAAGATCCCACATGCCGTGGAGCAACTAAGCCCGTGAGCCACAACTACTGAAGCCCATGCACCTAGAGCCCGTGCTCTGCAACAAGAGAAACCATCACAATGAGAAATGCATGCACCACAACGAAGAGTAGCCCCCACTCGCTGCAACTAGAGAAAGCCCATGCATAGCAATGAAGACCCAACGCAGCCAAAAATAATAATAAATAAATAACAAAAAAATAAAACAAAACAAAAAAAACAGTGCTGAGTGAAAGACTAAGCAAATCTATGACAAATACCACATACATAAATTAGAAATACATCCATATAACAATCATGTTGAGGGTACATACAACAAAAGGATACATATTAGACATTAGAATGGTTTCCTGGAGTGGTGGGGGATGAGATTGGGAAATGGACATAATGGAAAAATAAATAAAATGAACAATAATACCTACTGCTTAAGGATGTAGAGGAAAGGGAACCCTCCAACACTGCTGATGGAAATATGAAGAAAACAATCTGACACCATATGTTAACATATCCTAGAAACAGTGGAATTCTCATCAATAGGGGATGACTAAAATCATCCACACTGTGAAATATTATATCGGCATTAAAGGAAACTTAAAACCACACTTGATGCTTTAAAGAATTTCCTAAGGTATTATTGAATGAAAGAGGGTGTAGAAAAGTGAGTATACAGTGATGCCATTCTAGGAAACAGTGATCTCTCCCCACCCCCAACCTAACCCTTTAAATGTATGTTTGAGTACATACATACATGTGTGAGTAAACGTGTGTGTGTACAAGCACAGAGAAAAAATAAGAGGGAACATACACTGAATAGGGTGAGGAACTAAATAATGGAAGGAGGAAGGAAAGGAGAGGGAAAGGCAGAGGCAACCAAAAGAAGAAAAAATAAAGATTGCACTAAAAAAATTCAAGTGTATGATCATATTTATTCATGAATGTAAAAGTGTATATATGAGGGAGTATTTGTAGGCAGAAATTAAATAAGGTTTGTATTGGGCTTCCCTGGTGGCGCAGTGGTTGAGAGTCCACCTGCCGATGCAGGGGACACGGGTTCGTGTCCCGGTCCGGGAAGATCCCACATGCCATGGAGCAGCTGGGCCCGTGAGCCATGGCTGCTGAGCCTGCGTGTCCGGAGCCTGTGCTCTGCAACGGGAGAGGCCACAACAGTGAGAGGCCTGCATACCGAAAAAAAAAAAAAAATGTACACCCTGTTTATGAAAGGACTAAGCACTAACAAATAGCATTTGGAGGTTCCTTAAAAAAATTTTTTAAAATAAATAAATAAATAAAAATAGAACTACCATATAACCCAGCAATCCCACTATTGGGCATATACCCTGAGAAAACTATAATTCAATAAGAGACATGTATCACAGTGTTCATTGCAGCACTATTTACAATAGCCAGGACATGGAATCACCCTAAATGCCCATCGACAGATGAATTATCATAAAGAAGATGTGGCACATATACACAATGGAATATTACTCAGTCATAAAAAAGAACGAAATTGAGTTATTTGTAGTGAGGTGGATGGACCTAGAGTCTGTCATACAGAGTGAAGTAAGTCAGAAAGAGAAAAACAGATACCATATGCTAACGCATATATATGGAATCTAAAAAAAAAAAATGGTACTGATGAACCTAGTTGCAGGGCAGGAATAAAGATGTAGACATAGAGAGTGGACTTGAGGACACAGGATGGGAGGGGGAAGCTGGGACGAAGTGAGAGTAGCATCAACATATATACGCTACCAAATGTAAAACAGCTAGTGGGAAGCAGCTGCATAGCACAGGGAGATCATCTTGGTGCTTTGCGATGACCTAGAGGGGTGGGATAGGGAGGATGGGAGGGAGGCTCAAGAGGGAGGGGATGTGGGGACATGTGTATGCATATAACTGATTCACTTTGGTGTACAACAGAAACTAACACAGTATTGTGAAGCAATTATTCTCCAATAAAGATCTATTTTAAAACAAACAAATATTAGGAATCAGTACCTGTACAGTGTAATTTACTATATTGTATTTGTATTTCAGATGCCTTTGGTGCTTCATGAAGAATATTTCTAGATATATCACAGACATTAAGCCTTTGCCACCCAACATAAAAGATAGACTGATCAAAATAATGAGCGTGCAGGGGCAGATAACAGATTCGAATATAAGTGAGGTAAGAGCATATACAAAGAGCATGTGTAGCCTGTAAAGCAGGCTATTATATTTTACTGTTTAGCTATGGTTTCAGATTTTTGGAACAGTGGTTTATAGTAGGATTAGTAATAATTTTAAAATATAATAAAGTGTTGGGGTTCTTTTTTTCTCCAGATAACCAGAATGTCCATGTGTAATAGTTTCTAAAAAACCTTCTCCCACTATTCTTTCAGGTGTTTCTCTTGTCTTCATGGTACCAGCGTCCATGAACTCCATATTTTCAAGAAGTTTAAACTTTTTGATTGAGTTCACATTAATAAAGCTGGAAAAAAATTAAAATGCTGGGTGAATAAACAAATGGCAAAAAAAAGACCCACAGTAAGAAATATATATGTTACATTGTGACGCTAGCACACAAGCCACACCTCTGTGTAACAATACTCTGTACAGTACACTTGGATATTTTCTATTTTATTCTAGTATGTCTTATTCCATTTAAAAAATGATCGTAGCCTATTGACTTTGTCCATTCATGGTTAGCAGTCAGTTAAAAATCACTCTTCTAAATTCTTCTCATTCTTCTTGGGTACCTCACTCCAGCTAATTTATACTTACTCCCCTTCACTAACTAAGCTAAAATTAACTATTCTGTAAGGGAATAAGTGTAGTAAAGGCCTCCAACCTGAATTAAAATTCTAGCCTTGCTACTCTTTCTGATGTTGAACCACAGTTGTCTTAACTGTAAAATGGGTTTGCAGCTATCATCACTCACTGCCTACAGAGACTGGAACTACTTATTGCTGACTTTACTACATATTCTGCCCAAAGCCTGTGATCAAAAGGAAGCAAGCTCTGATGGTAGCACTCCCCATATGTCTACAATGGTGACTTCACATTGGAATTGTGCTTCAGTGTGCCATAGTGTTTCCTCTACATTAACTTGATGTGCCTTTAATGCTTTATTTTCTTCCTGTTAGCTTGCATTTGAACATAGACATTTTAGTGTTGTAGTCTGCTTTGCTCTTTGGAGGTAGACTCCAGCTCTTATTGTTGATGGTTCTGTGGATGTATATAATGTATGTGTGGCTCACAGATGAAACATTGACGCTACAGAAAACGTGGTTTTCTTCACTTCCCCACATCCCTTTAACCTGTATTTCAGTGACTTAAATTTTTGTTTTATGACAATCCTGAACATTCACTTAAACCTAATTTTACCTGAATAAAAAAGGGCTAAGGGGGTAAATGAGATAGAAAAATCAAAAGCGTTATTTCCCTTGGTGTTTCCATCTAATCCCCATCCTTATGAAAGTCCTGCTTATGAAATTATTTAAAAGACCAGATCTAACATTTTTTTAAAAGTTGCACACATCTGGGGATGGCTTTTTTTGAAAAATTTCCTAAATCTTTTTATAGTCTCTGGGTGGAGAAGGCCTTTTTAAACATGACACCAAGTTAGAAAACAAGAAGAAAAAGATTGATAGATTTAAATATATAAAAATATAAACTTCTTTATGGCAAGAAGAAAAAAATTAACAAACTAGGAAAAATATTTGCAGTATGTATGAAATTCTATTTTGTTTTATCTTGCCAATGTAAATCATGCCTGCAAACCACTAAGAAAAATCAAAACAAACAAATAATAAAATAGAAGAATCAGGAAATACTCCAAGGAAAAAATATAAATCAGCAATAATACGTAAAAGGATATTTAACCTTATTAGTAATCAAAGTCACAGTTTGTCTTTCAGTTTAGCAGAGACTTAAAAAATAGTAATACCTGGTGCTGGCAATAGTGTGGGGAGCAATCACTTTTATCCCCTGCTGTGAGAGTATAAATTGATTTAAAGAAACCTTTTAGGAGGACAGTTTGGCATTCTATCAAAAGTCCTAAAAATTTGCTTACCATTGACTCAAAAATTTCACTTCTGTAATTTTTTTCCAGCTTTATTGAGATATAAGTGACATATAACCTTGTGTAAGTTTAAGGTGTACAACACACGTGATGACTTGATACACTTATATATTATGAAATGGTTACCACGGCAGGTTAGTTAACATCTCCATCACCTCACATAATTACCATTTACTGGTGTTAATCTCAAGAAAATAATAATTTAGAAAGCACACAAGAATGCTCAGCATAACATTTTCATAATAATAAAATAGCTAACAGTTATATATAGCATATATTATAAGCAAGGCACCTTTATTTCTCACAAATATCATCCTCACCTTAATGAGGATAGTGAGGCACAAAAAGAAAGCAGAGCTTGATCACAATCACAGGGTTGGAACTCAGGCAGCCTGCCTCCAGAGTACATGCTCTTATACACTGTACTATATTGCCTCTTAAAATCAGTCTGAATGTTCAACTTAAGTGTTTGCCAGTGTAGGATGCATTTAATAAGTTACGGTGCATGCATAAAATGAAATAGTATGCAACCACAATTAATTATTTTTATAAAAAGTGCCCATTTATAAATATATGTGATCTGATCCCATTTTTCTTCAAATATTTTTTTAAAAACTCAAAAAGCATCAAAACTAATATTATGTTTGTCACTGGGTGTTGATATTATGGGTAATTTTAGCTATAACTAGTTAAACGCATAGCCTTTGGAATTAGGAAGATCTGGCTTCCAATCCTAGCTCTGCTCCTTTTTTAGCTGTGTACTTTGTGTTGCTACTTAAGCTCTGGGTGACTCAATTTTCTCATTTATAAAATAGCAGTGACCAATCTCTTAGGGTGGTGTGTGTGTGTGTGTATGTGTGTGTGTATGTGTATGTGTATGTAAGAGAGAGAGAGAGAGAGAGAGAATATTAAATGACATATTTTATGTAACACTTAGTACCCTTCCCGGTAAGTGCTCAATAAATAGAAATAGTTATTTGTATCATTTCTGTAATTTTTCTGTGCTGTCTGAATGTTTTATAATAACAGTACATTACTTTCATGTTCAGAAAAGTGTAAGCCATTTCTATTTTCATAAAAATAAAGCAAAAGAGAAGGAAAATACCCCCAGAAAAAGAGCTCAGAATGCTTTGAAATTGATCTGCTATTTGTTGCCCTCAAGTAAACATTCAGGAATACTGGGTTTGTTTGTACTAGCTCCCAAAAATAAAAATGAAGGAGGTAAATATTCTAGATAAGCATTTGGTATATAAGTGCCTGAAGACTCGTACTTGCTGAGCAAAGAGACACAGAGTTAGAATCTCTAATAATAGGAACCACTGGAAGAGGATAAGCTCCCACCACCACCTTGGTTCTGCTTGCAGGTCTAGTGGGTCCTTACTCTGTACCAGCTGTCTCAACAGTGCTCTGTGTCCCAGTAAGACTTTGGGGACACTAGAAGCTGCACCTCCAGTTGGAAGTAGGTTGGTTTTTTCCTGCTCTATGTATCTGTCTTCACACAGATATGTTTCTGTATTCTTTGCTGTATTTTCCACCTGCTGTTTGTCTTTTATGACCATCAAAACACTGAATATGGAATAAACATTTATATTTATAGGAAATATTAATTTCTCAAAATCATGTATTTATTATAGATTTTACATCCTGAAGTCCAAACTCTAGATCTACGAAGCTGTGATATTTCAGATACTGCTCTCCTGCACCTATGTAACTGCAGAAAATTGAAGAAATTAATTTTAAATTCCTCAAAAGAAAACAGAATTTCCATAACTTCAAAAGGTATGTTTATTAACACAATGAATTGGTTGAGTACTATTCACCATCTGGCATAATTTTGGAGCAGAGAAGGGGAAAATATGTTAAAAGAGAGTATAAGTATGTCAAAGAAATAGGCACTGTATTTATCAATAAAATATTCAAACTAAGCTAAAGAATCCAAATTAGAATTCTTGCTTATAATCAGTGCTGAAAGTTGGGAAATACACTAAGTCACTACCTTGAAGTTTAAACATGTTTAAAATAAACATGGATAGATACCTCTATATTTTAAATATTTTACCTAGTATAGTGAAACCAGAAATGACCAGTTCATACTTTGTTAAGGCTTTCTTGTAATATTACAACAGAAAGTTAGATCATCATCAGGTTAAATTTACTAGGCACTCTCCTGTCAGCCTGTTCACTGCATAGTTTTGTAGCCAGAGCATAAGCTGCCCCATTTTGGACAGCACAAAACTAATCATGTATTTTCCACTTCTGCTGCCATAAAACTATATTAGACAATGACTGATTGACTAGGAAAGAACTAATCCTGCTTGCTTAATTCCAGATACCAACTTCAAAGACATTGGCCTGGAAGATGGCAACAATTTATACTATAAGCCAGTCAAATAGCAAAATCACCAAGCTCCCAGTTCCCTGAAAGATATAAAGGTCTAACACACACTCCTAAGTTGTTTTTACAGGAAGCATACCCCCACGAGATGAAAACTGCTGACCATCAGCACGTAGACCCCAGACTGGTTGAAACCAGAAGGTTGGTGTTGCTTGAAACTTCACCTTGATGCCAACCAATCTGAAAATTGTGTACAAACTGCTCATGTACCCTGCAGCTCCCTCCCTCACACTGCCTATAAAACCTTTGTCTCCCATCCGGCAACTTGGAGATGGTCTTAGGACAGTAGTCCACCAGCTTCCCAGGTTGCTGGCCTCCTGAATACAGCAGACTTTTCCTTTTCCACCAATACTTGTCTCTGGAGTATTGGCCTTTCAAGCAGCAAGCAACTGAACTTGGTACTGGCCTTGTCCAGTTACAGGGTTTTTTTTGTTTTTTTTGTTTTTTTGCGGTATGCGGGCCTCTCCAGTTACAGTTTTTTATAGCCAGACAAACTGCATTTTTCAGTGTGACTGTTACATGAATTAATGGATTTTTACCATTTTTTTTAATAGAGGATTTTTATCTTTTTCTTCAGTATAAGAAAGAAAGAGTTATTTGGCTACCTAGGTTTCTGAAAAATCTTGTGGGTAGTTGGCTCTATTTTACAATCAGCTTGGTTAGCAAGTTAAGATATTCATAATACTGCAAAGAAGCATACGTTTTAAAATGTTTACACAAATATTGATTCACTAAAAAGAACTTTCATGCTGGACACTAATGAATAAAATAAGAGTTCTTTCTTAAGATATGGAAAACAATAAAAATGACCTACACACGAATTTACCATCTTCCCTTTTGTGTATTTTGCCCATGAAAGTTTCTTTTAGCAGTGCTATAATGTTTGTCCATGACTAAAGAGCCCAGGATTCCTGAAGTACATTTCTATTTATGTGGCACATTATCACGTACCTGTCACCAGAGTGCTTTTACATCAGTTGAATTGAATTTAAGGGCTTCTGTTTTCTTGACCGTTGATAAAATGTAAGATTGGTCCAGGCATGTTGGTAGCAAAGGGCAGAATCAAAGAGGGAAGAGAGAACACAGAGATACAAGTATGATTCCTAAGGATAAGCATGAAAACTATTACTTAAGACATTTGGGCCATTTAACTTTTGATTTCTTTTCAGAGTCCACGAGAAAATTAACTTTATTTAAAACTTTTAACAAAAAGGAGAATCATCTACTATTTAATTACCTATTTTGGTTCTGAATGACTTTTGGCTATTTCCTAAAAGCAAGTCTAATCATAAACAAAAAAGTCTTGTCATTAATTGCAGATATTCTGAAGAATATACTACAGATTATGTAGAGAATTCTTGAAACATTCCAAAAGAGTTTTAAATAATGACAACATCGCTGGAAATAAAGTATATCCCCACATGCACTACTTTGAAAAAGGCTAACATGCAATTGGATGTATCAGTACTGGTGATTGATGAAATGAAAATCAGTCACATTTGTCATATATAAACATATATAGCTCATTGATACAGAATTATGTTTTCCCTCAGGAATAAAAGCTGTGGCTTCATCTTGTTCTTACCTGCACGAAGCTTCTTTGAAAAGATGCTGCAATCTCACTGATGAAGGAGTCCTTGCTCTTGCACTCAATTGCCGGCTGCTAAAGATCATTGATTTAGGTGGCTGCTTAGGTATTACTGATGTGTCCTTGCAGGCATTAGGAGAAAACTGCCCATTTTTGCAGTGTGTTGATTTTTCAGCTACTCAGGTAAATGAAATACAGACTTGAAAGGTAGAAACTGTATGTATTTGCCCAGAGTATTTCCATAACTCATCAGAACATAATTCTTTTTGTTGTTGCTAAAATTTTTTTTATTTATTTGTTTATTTATGTATTTATTTATTTTTGGTTATGTTGGGTCTTCATTGCTGCGAGCGGGCTTTCTCTAGTTGCGGAGAGTGGGGGTTGCTCTTCGTTGCAGTGCACGGGCTTCTCATTGCAGTGGCTTCTCTTGTTGTGGAGCATGGGCTCTAAGGTGTGCGGGCTTCACTAGTTGTGGTGTGTGGGCTTCAGTAGTTGTGGCTCGCGGGCTCTAGAGCGCAGGCTCAGTAGTTGTGGCGCACGGGCTTAGTTGTTCCACAACATGTGGGATCTTCCCGGACCAGGGCTCGAACCCGTGTCCCCTGCATTGGCAGGCGGATTCTTAACCACCGCACCACCAGGGAAGTCCACTAAAATTGTTGGCTTCATGCTTTGATAGTTAAATAATTACAGTATAATTTGGCACCCCCCCCCAATTATTTTCAGTAAGGGTGGAAGGTATGTGTGGCTAAGACACCTTTGCCAAACGGGAGGAAATAAAACTATATCTAAATAATTAATAATTTTTATAAAAGTTTGCTTCCATCATCTCCATTTACGTGCTATGTTCCTTTTTTCCTTTGCTCAGGTATCTGACAGTGGTGTGGTTGCGCTTGTTAGTGGACCTTGTGCCAAGAAATTAGAGGTAATTTTAAAATATCTGTAAAGATGATGATTATCTGAATTCACATTATCCTCAGAAATTCTTTTTTAAACCTAGAAGACAACCAGTGCCTTATTCTCAATTAGATATTAACATGGACTTTTTTTTTTTTTTACCTCCACCTCTTTATTCCCAGAGTGAAGAAAAACTGGTTAAAATTAGGAGATAAAGTATACTTTATAATAAATCCCATTTTACTTCCAATAAAAGTTCTTATTCTCCAGAAATTTTAGCTTCTAATACATTTAAAGATAGTCTTATTATGGATGAAAATTTATCAATGTAAAATGACATTCTTTAGAATTTTCACGTCTGGCTGATATTTTTACCAGGACTACTTATTCTCTTGCCAGTGTATTTTTCTTGACATCATATTTATTCTCTTGCCATCATCTTTTTCTGAATCCATGAAGGGATCCAGACTATACCACTGTGGCGTAAAAATTATTTTGATCTGAAGATGTCTGAGAAACAACAAGGGTTAAAAAAAAAAAAAAAGACTTTGTCTTAAACCCCACCTTCCCCCATCTGCCTAAAAGCAGACCATTCCAAAAGAATTCAACTGCCTCAAACCCCCTTTAAGGTAGGCTTCCCATACATGGGGAAGTCAGATGACAAATTGCATTAAATAAACATTGTCACAAGATTATCGTTAAGTCCCATCTATTCTCCTAAAGTTCATTTTGTCTTCCCTAAAAAGTCACCTGTTTTTCTGAGTGTCCTTTCTCCCCCTCCCCTTCCCCTATTAAGATGGTATATAAACTCTAAATTCTAGCCATTTCTTTGAGCCACTTTCTTTGTGATCTTGTGAATAAACTTCACCTTTTCTCTTGCTAATCTTACTGTCAGTTTAATTCGAAGGCTTCCAAAGACAAACAAAAGAGGATAGAGAAAAGATTTTTCCTCTCCAGAAGCCACATTGTGCAGCTGTTTGAAAAGATCTTAAATTAGTGTTCAACCTTTGTATCCAATGACTGATGTGATACCTGTAACCTATTTCTAAATATGAAGAAGACTTTTGTCCCAAGATTTTGTTTTTTTCCTTTTTCAGTTTACAGTGTTTTATTTTGTTTTTACTCATAACTAATATAGCTGTGCTTTTCAACAATAAATCACATCAAATCCTTTTTGGAAGTAAGCTGGCTATAAATGAATTATAAAAGTTAGTAATCACTATTATAATAGAATGGTGGTGCCATGTTTTTGCCAAAATATTTCTGCTTGATTTAATGCTCAAATAGTTTTTTGGTGATATTTATATATTTGCATTCTGCTTGTATTTATGTGTGTACATATGTGTGTATATAAAATAGCATATATATTTTTACAAATCTTTTAATTAAGAAATTCCTTTCTTTAAAATATGAAGTTCCAAATTCCAAATTACATTCTAACTGTAGGGACAATAACTGCCATAATTTTTACTGTTTAAATACTAACATTTGTTGAGCACTTACTACATTCTAGCCTCCATGCTACTGCCTTATATTCATTAGGTTATTCAATTTTTACATTATCCTATAATCACCATCATTTTTTTTAACATTTTTATTGGAGTATAGTTGCTTTACAGTGGTGTGTTAGTCACCATCATTTTTAACAAAGTTCTCAAACAGTTAACCTAGTTTATCACTTCCTAATAAAACCACCAGGAAATTAGTTGTTATGCAGTGGTAGGAAATATACCTACATATTTACTTCAGCTTTATAAAATTAGGAGCACCAACCTAAGCAGACTTAGGAAAAAATCCAGTAACCAATGTGTTGGTCATTGTAGTGTCATTGAATTTTTCACTTTTTCAGTTTTCCAAAGCTTATTTCTGTTAAGTGCCAAAACATTTTAATGGAAATCTTTCTGAAATTTGTTAGAACTTAATTCCTTCCTTAAAGGAATATATTTTAACCTTTGGCTCATAGCATCTTTCTGACTGAAACTGAAATACAGATGTCTTCATCTTTTTAACTGATTCTTCTCTTTTGGGTAACATGTATGCCTGCTATTTATTAGATACCCTGTTTTAATCTGTTGCTTTTAATTTGTTCAATTCTGGAAAATTAAATTACCAATGTTGCTAAATAGTTTATAATTTGAAAATAAATTTGATTAAAAGTCTAAGGACCTCTCTTAAAGATTGACATTTAGTACAAACGTATGCTACAGCGTTTGTTGAATGTCAGGATTGCCTCTGAAATCTCTGTTGATCTGAGTTCTCAGTGAGCATGGACCATTTTGTTCATCACTTTGTTGTCATTTTATCCCCAGGTTTGACTGCAGTTCCAGACACATGGTAGCACCTAATAAATGTTATCATATTCTTAACTTCATATTACAGTCATTTTATAGTTTTCTGTAGTCTTCATGATTAAAAGTTTAATTTGCTGTATAAAATTATTCATTTATTAAACAAATATTTATTGAGTATCTGCTGTGTTCTAGGCACTGGCATATCAAAGAACAAAATCTGTCCATGTTATGTATCACTTTCCTTTAATCATTTTTCTAATGTTGGTAATTCAGATTATTTACAGCTTTTAGCTACTGGAAATATTCATATGTTGGGACATATCACTTTTTTCTTCCATTGCTATAATGAACCCTCCATAATGAAACAAGTGGATCAATAGGTATGAATCCTTTTTTTAATGGTCCCAAATTCAGATTGCTGAATTGTTTCCCATAAAGGTTATGTTGTGAATTCACAGTTTTTGCTAGGACCCCAATTTGCCAGAGTTGAATATTTTCTTTTTTTTAATGCCTTAATATATTTTAAATGAAACCTGACTTGAACACTGTTCCTTCCATCTCTTGTTCTCAGTTGTATTTCATTGTCTGTAGCCTTTGCCAATTCATATCATAGGATGCCTTTGCCAATGTATAATATACAATGCTTTCTGCCTCAATTTTTATGAGTTTTCAGTATATTCAAGTTTCCTTTATTTCTAAGATATGATTAATTATAATATGTACACCAACATAGTATTTCTTTTCTCCTGAAAAGCTGATATTACCATAAGTATACATATCAATTACCACATGAATCTTATTTCCAGAATTGTTAAATTTTTTTAATGTGGGCAAATATACATAAAAATTGCTATTTTAACCATTTTTAGTGTACAGTTCAGTAGAATTAAGTACATTCACATCATTGTGCAGCCATCACCATTAACTATCTCCAGAACTTTTTCATCATCCCAAATTGAAACTCTACCCTTTAAACAATAACTCCCCAAAATCTTCTCCCCCAGCCTCTGGCAACCTCTGTTCTATCTTCTGTCTTTATGAATTTGCCCATTATAATCACATTTTTTTTTTAACCCATTCATCCATTGATATGTTTCCACCTTTTGGCCATTGTGAATACTGCTGCTATGAACATAGGTGTACAGATATCTGTTTGGGTCCCTGCTTTCAATTCTTTTGGGTATATCCCTAGAAGTGAAATAGCTAGATCATATGCTAATTCTATGTATAATTGTTTGAGAAACTGCCATACTGTTTCCATAGCAACTGTATACTTTTACATTCTCACCAGCAATGCAAAAGGGTTCTGAATTAGAACAGTAAACAAAAGATAGATAATGTTTCAAATATATGAAAAAGTATAGAAAGTAATATAACAGACCTGTGGACCAACCACTTGAATTTTAACATTTTCTGCATTTGTTCCAGTTCTTTTTTAAAAAATTATTATATGTTACATCTAAAGCTCCCTCCCCTTATTTATTCCCCCTTTCTTCCTTCAGAGGTAACCACTCTTCTGTGCATCTTTCCTTCCATATTTGGATGCTTCATCTCTCTCTCTATGCATATGTGTGTGTATGTGTATATATATCCATAAATAAGATATTGTATTGTTTTATATGTTTTTAAATAGTACATAATAGTTTCATAGTGTATGTGTTGTTTTACAATTTGCTTTTTTATTCAAAATTATGTTTTAAAATTTTTTCAAGCTTTATTGAGGTTTAATTTACATACAATAAAACTCACCTATTTTAAGTGTACAGTGTGATGAATTTTGGTAATTGTTATACAGCCTTGTAACCACGACCACAGTTAAGTATAGAATATTTCCATCACCCTAAGAGATTATCTCCCATCCCTTTGCAGTCAGTGCCCTGCTGTGGCCCTCTCCCAAGCAACCACTGATTTTGTCAGTATAGTTTTGCCTTTTCTGTACTTTTATATGAATGGAATCATGCAGTAAATTGTCTTTTGGTTTTTTACTTTTTTCTTTTACTTCTTTCACTTGGCATAATGTTTTTGAGATTCACCCATGTTGTTGAACGTGTTAATATTTCATTCCTTTTTTTTTCTGAGTAGTATTCCATAGTCTGGAATATGACACAGTTTGTTCATACATTCACCATTTGATGGACATCCAGGTTGTTCCAATTTTGGACTATTATAAATACTGCTATGGACATTTGCATACAAGTCTTTGTGTAGACATATGGTTTCATTTTGAGGGGGTAAATACCTAGAATGAAATTGCTGGGTCATATAGTTGAGTACATGTTTAGCTTTATAAGATGCTACCATAGTGTTTTCTAAATTGTCTGAACTAACATTATGTTTAAGATTTATGTCTATTAATACAAATAGATATTTTTCATTGTAACTGTTTTATCTTATTACAATATATAAATGAACCACCATTTATTTACCCAGTCTCCACTTCTTTACTATTACAGATAATATTGCAATTGGCATATTTATAAGTTGTTTCCTTACGCACATGTACAAGAGTTTCTCTCTATATAGTGGACATCTGCAGTTGGAATTGCTGGGTTCTGGGGCATACTTACTGTCAGTTTTAATAGATACTGCCAAATTGCCTTATAAAGTGGTTGGGCATTTAACTCTTAAAGGTGCTATACCTTCCAAATTACTACAGAATTTCACTGGTCCTTTCTATAGAGTTTTTCTTGCAAGTTGATATTTGGGTTTTTTGTTATCAGAGTACAGTGTTTCCCAAGCTTTTTCACACTGTTATTATTGTCCTATTTTTCCTTTTGATTATACTTTCTTTATTTTTAAATAGGAGATTCATATGGGATATTGTGTGAATCTGACTGATGAAGCTGTAGAAGCTGTCCTTACTTGCTGTCCTCAGATATGTATATTACTCTTCCATGGATGCCCCCTGGTAACAGGTTAGTATGAGGCTGCTTGGGTTCAAATCTTGGTTTCACCTTTTAATAACTGTGTGACCTTGAGTAAATTACTTAACCCATTCCATTATTCAGTTTCCTCACATTAAGTGGGTATAATGACAGTATCTACCTCATAAACTTGGTCATGATGATTATCTGACAATACTTCATATGGTGCCTAGCACATAGTGAGGGCTCAGTAAATGTTAAGTCATGATGATGATGGCGATGTGGTGATGGCAAATGCTCAGTAAATGTTAACTGCCTTGAGGAGGACGATGGTGGCAGTGGTAGTGGTCATGATATTAAACATTATGCTTTATGAAGTCAAGTTTATAATATTACATCTTTCAAATATGCTAAATGACCTGCTTTTTTTTTCCTAATTTATTTTATTTACTTATTTATTTATTTTTGTCTGTGTTGGGTCTTTGTTGATGTGCACGGGCTTTCTTTAGTTGTGGCGAGCGGGGGCTACTCTTGATTGCGGTGTGTGGGCTTCTCATTGTGGTGACTTCTCTTGTTGTGGAGCACGGGCTCTAGGCGCGCGGGCTTCATTAGTTGTGGCATGCAGGCTCAGTAGTTGTGGCTCGTGGGCTCTAGAGCACAGGCTCAGTAGTTGTGGTGCATGGGCATAGTTGCTCCGCGGCATGTGGGATCTTCCTGGACCAGGGCTCAAACCCGTGTCCCCTGCATTGGCAGGTGGATTCTTAACCACTGCGCCACCAGGGAAGCCCCATAAATGACCTGTTAACTGTAATCTCATCAAGCCGTAGCCATTGAGATTCAGAATCATTTGGCTAATGTGGTACTTCACTAAAGTAGTCACAGCCCTTTTGGCTTGTATAAGAGCCATAATACCCCTTTCACATCACCCCTACAGTGGGTCCCATACCACAACATAACCAGGATCTTATGTGTGAGTCAGTACTTATGCCCAGCCCTTCCAGCTCTTTTTCCTAATTACAGTCTAATAGTTACTATCCTAGAAGTCCTTTTTGTTTGTTTTTGTTTTTGTTTTGCGGTACGGGCCTCTCACTGTTGTGGCCTCTCCCGTTGCGGAGCACAGGCTCCAGATGCGCAGGCTCAGCGGCTATGGCTCGCGGGCCCAGCCACTCCGTGGCATGCAGGATCTTCCCGGACCGGGGCACGAACCCGTGTCCCCTGCATTGGCAGGCGGACTGTCAACCACTGCACCACTAGGGAAGCCCTAGAAGTACTTTTGACATCTTCTGGTTTTTCTTGTGTTTGGACTGCCAATTTAAACTAAGCCTGTAATGGGTTGTATTTGGTTATCAGTGACATCTATAATGAAGACTAAATCTTATTTTAGGCAGACATCTCTCAACACTAAAGCCAAAAGTGATGTTAGAAACTGTTACCAGTGGGTACCTCTAGGGAAGGTTGTGGAGAAACAAGACTAGGAAAAAGCTTTCACCATATACCCGTTTGTCCTTTTGAATTTTGTATCATGTGAATGATTTTACCTATTAAAAATTAGTAATCATAATTTTAAGAAAATAATTTAGAACCAGAAAAATTCATGTGACTGAGTACGGGGAATTGGTACATGTGAACACTATTCTGGGGGTTATGAGAAGGCAGGCAGAGGCTCTCTGGTCATCAAACAAGGCAGAAAATTATATTCTAACAAGTAGGCTATTATTGTAAGGTGGAGGAGACCACAGTATGTGAAATGTAATAACAGCAATTTTGGATAATAGGTCTTTTCAGAATACCAACTAAAAGTATGTAAATCTACTCACTGAGCTATATGTACATTTAATCAATACATTGAACAAGAGAGTGGTACTCACAAAGTGACTCCATTTTCCTCACACTATATTAATTACAGGTTTAATCTAAAGGGCCTAATATTTCCCAAAGCCAAATGAAAATCTCCGACATGTGCCACTGACTTTTCTTATCATTCTCAGATAGTTAAAAGTCTTGTCATTTCATATCACTGAAACCCTCTCATTTCAGCAATTAAAACGTCTTAGACCCACGTAATACTCCAAACAAGTTCAAATTAAAGCTTTTTGCTCCTCCAGTCAGCTCAAGTTTGCTGTAGGTGGAAACGCTGCTGCGGGTAAGGGGACGTTGTTACTCTGTTTTACCACCTTGCGCTTCTCTTCTTCCTTTCCCAGCTTGCCCACCATGGTTTCTGACCCCACCAATGTCAGTACAGGGTGGGACTGCAGTGAGCAGAAGGGAAGGGACGGGAAAGGAAAGTCTAACTTGACTACTACGGCTGTGATCTAGCGGCAGCACTGAGGGCCTGTGGGGAGCTCATCCTGATCCGTGCTCTCTCAAAAGTGGGGCACTTCTGATCTTCCTCAGGGTCCACTTTCTGCCACTCCCCTCATCACTGCATATATCTCCTACATCTACAGTTCTCTTGATTCAAGCAAATGTGTCTCTTCTGGCTAGTAGCTAGCATTTTCTTCCTCTGCACCCAGGCAGCTGGTGGTACACCTTCAGTCTCTTTCTGTTGAGGTTTCCTAGACCATCCAAGTTGCTTTCATGAGCAAACTACAAGGCAACCCATGCCAGCCCACATCTGTCCACAGGAAACAATACTTTAGACAGTAAGAGTGCAGGTTATTTCCCAACTTCAGTCCTCTCTTTAGCCACGTGGACTCTTACCATAGCCTTTTGCTTTTTAGTTTTCTCAGGTCTGATATTAGTGTAATGTGTCTCCCAAGCTCCAAGGGACAAATCAGATTCTCCAACTGATCTCCTTAGAGCCCCCTCTCACTAGGCTTGAAGGCAAGAGCAAGCACCTGCAACCCTCTTTTGACAACTCAAATCATAACTGTCTTCAAAAAAATCCTTTCTTCAATTTCCGGTTTTCCGTCGCTTCCCACTTTAACACTTTTATATCTTTGAATGGATGAGGCACCACGGATTCCAAAATGAGTTTTCAGCCAAGCATTTGCAAATCATGTACAAGTCTGGTATCTCATTTTGGAATGAGAGAGTAGCTGGTACCTCTAGTCCTGGAACCTTAGCTGAAATAGTTAATGTTTTAACGTTCTGTTATATTTGTCTCAGGATAACTTGGCTACATAACATGTTATAAACTCAGCCTTTGCTAATTTTATCTTGATTATCTTTCTGGCTACAATTTGGAAATAGTTAATTGGCATTTTCCCTCTACTTTTAATAGAAGTGAAGACAAACTATACACACAGTCAACCAGAAAAACTTATCCTTAGGCAAACTGCTTCAAACAATCATCAAAGACCCTATAGGTAATGAAATCTTTAGAAGGTACAACCAAAAACTTAAAATTTGAGTACAACAAGGCCAATAATAAAATGCTTAAAGGTGCCTGTATCAATATAGAAATGACTAACAAATATGAATTTTGAAGTCTGGAAAATATGTTGCAGTCATTAGTCAGATTTTTAAAGCAGAAGGCTTTTGAGATAAATTATATAATTACTGAGATCACTGGAAACCAAAGATGTATTATCAGTTGGTGAATTCAAGAGAAATGCCTACCTGGTATGATTATAGATACTAGGAAAACTTAATCCCACTAAATCTTTCCACATCCACATAATGGCTCAGAATACTGAATTTACCAACTATCTTGCTGCTGAGCAACAGCTACATAACCCCCCCTCCTCAGCTCAGTCTTCTGGGAATTCCCTTACCTTACTCCCTTTCTGAGTAAGTGGAAGTTCTGTTGTGAGGGACTCCCCTTCCATGCAAACCTATCAAAGTGCTGCCCAATTAAAGCTCATTGTGTGCTACTGCCACCTTGTGGTCGTATCTTTTTCCTTGCTCTGCCCCACAATCCCTTGATCTCACTAACTACAGTTATATGGTATGGTGTTCTAGAAGACATCAAGGGATAAAGCATAAAACAAAATATGTTTATATGTCCAAATGTTTGGGAAATGCAACATACCACTATAATGAATATTAATTTCTCAAAGGCTCTGAGAAATACTATTGCTAAGAAGCTTAACTTTTTTTATCTAAGTGCCAGGGAGTTAGACGTTTTCCTCTACCCTTTTAGGTTCTTCCGGCTGGTCTAAGAATTAAATTGATAGGAGGCAGATTAAGAGGCGAAAATCAAACAAAAGTTTAATAACATGTATACATGGAAGAGACCCAGGAGAACTGAGTAACTCACCAAAATGGCTGAAACCCTCGCCTTAAATAACATTTTCAGCAGCTAAAGAGGATGTTGGGGGTAGAGGTTTGGGAATTCAAAAGGGAGGAAGGCAATTCACATGAAAGATGAAAAAGCAAATGTTTGGTAAACAAATATTTGTTGGGCCATGCAGCGCAGTTGCGCCATAAAGGTACTCTCACCTCTAGGCCCTGCTGAGTTTCCACCACCACACCTAGCCCATATTCTTGCAGACAACCTCTGGCGATAACTTGATCTATACTTCTTTTAGGCAGTAAGGAGGAAGGTCAAAATTTCTTCTTGAGTCTTTTGGTCCTTGATTGTTATCAGCTTGAAATAATCCTCATGCCAAAGAGACATTTTGGGGTGGCACGTTTTGCTCCCCCACCCAAGCATTTCCCACATATTTTTTAACACAGAATAATTCATGTATTATTATTTTGATCCCTCCTTTCACAGAAGAGGAAAGTGAGAAACTGAAATGGTATTTGTCCATTGTGACATAGTTTTTAATAACACTGCTAAAATTAAACAAAAATCTCAAGATAAAGTGAAATGAGCACCAATCCCTAGTCTCCTACCATCTCTCCAAAACACTGAATAACTTAACTTCTGTAGACCTCAACTTTTCCTTACATATAAATGTCAGTCATAAAATTGGGTGATCTGATAATAATATAAGAGTTCACATACAATGGCTTTTACCGATAAAGGTTCTTAAAGATAAAAAAAGCTGAAGTTTTTCAACTACCCAGATCACCTCTACTCTTCCTGCTTTCCCGTCAGCATCTACCATTGTATATTTTTGCTACCATCATTGAATGAAAATAAAGTGGACTAATATATTCAC